TGCAGGGCACATGTCCACATGCGTCTAAAGTCTGATCACCAATCAAGAATTGGCAGGTTGATCAATCCCCTCAGCTTTACTTCCAATTACTCGCTCCTTGTGAACATAAGAAAATGGTATGTCAAGAATGCTTTGAAAATGAATAGCTAATGAGGTTCATTATGGGCTAAGACACCTACACGCAGGTCTCTTAGCGATAAGATACGGCGGTTAGGTGGCTTAGTTCTAACTAAGACCCTCCCGTTTACAGTACGCGCAGACCGGGGCGTCCAGAGAAGCGGCAATCACGAGCTGAGACTGCTCAGACCTCGCCCTGACTCGAACAGTTGCGATGCTGCTAATAACAGTGATTCTCAGTCATCGTCGACGAAGTCTTAGACAGTGCCCAGTGTGGAATCGGGAGGCCTCTCCCCTGCCGGGCTACCGTCGAAAAGTTGAGGCGCCGCCGCTAATAGCATCGACGCAATCGATCGTGGATTGCGCCCGGTATCGGCTTGGGAGAACTCTCCTCCCCGGTGCTTTCTTCAAAGAGCTGCTACCAACCAAGGTTGAAAGCGGACGAGCTACAGCCAACCGTACGGCTATCCGTTTTCTTAACAAGTAAGACGGCAGATTCGAGTGCCTTCGTGGTTCTGCAGCCCGCGCGGTCGGTTGGAATGACGCAATAGAAACCTCGGCTCCGCCTCGGTTACTATTGCGCATTCCAACCTCCCACGCGGGCTCGAAGACACTCGAATCTGCCGTCTTACCTATACTAAGAGCAGTTTACAGCCCTCTAAATAAGGCCAAGGGCACTGTGGCTCTGCCATGCCAATAATACTTCAGTGAATAAAGGAGGCCATAAGTTTCACCATAGTTATTATGCCTTGAGCCACTCGTGTAAACCATTCGCAACTATCATGTACATTGAACATAAGTCCATCTCCAAGGTGTCCTTATTCAGAGGTTTCACTGACATAATAAATCTGCTCTAAATAGGGTGGCCACTGGCCCCCGGGAAGCATTAACTGAGTCAAAGGTATTGTTGTCCCATGCTACCACTCGTACGAGCAACTGCGACTGGATGGAGACTTCTCCGAGGTGCACATGATGATCAGCGACGATGACGGCGGCGGAGAATCGTGGTACATTGGAGGAACACTTCCAGATTGGGACCTACAGTTCCCTAGTGAGAACCAAGCAGTCGCTCTTGGCGGTAACACCATCTTTATCAACGCCAGGACATTTCTCACTGATCGACTCGGAGCTTATAGCACGGACGGCGGGCTGACTTTTGGTCCACACTTTGTCCCCAAAGGCCTGCCTCAACCTCTGGAAGGTTGCGAAGGAAGCACAATAAGACACCCGGACACTGGCGTCCTGTATTACTCGGGACCTGCTGTGCCCTTCCCCACACCGCTGAGATACAACATGAGCATCTTTACTAGCTCTGATAACGGTACAACATGGACTGCTCAAGCTGTAGTTCATTCGGGGTCATCTGCCTATAGTTCTCTGGCTGTTCTCGGAGATGGCCACTCCATTGGTCTACTGTATGAGTGGGCAAATGAGACCAAACTCATATTTGATCCCGACTACTTCAGTTTTGTGGTCGTTAATTAACATTTTGCAAACCCTCGCCTCCGTGCAAATAGCTAGTACAGAGATCATGCGAACGCGAACACGTGCGCAAAGGCTCTTCGGCGCATGCGCACAAAATGCATACGGCTCCATAACAGTGCTCCACCACTCAGTAGCTATACACACACCTGAAGATGCTCAATTCTCACAGCACCATAACAGCTGAGGAAAACTACGAGCAGATGTACCTGGTATATAACCGAACTGCCTGCTCCTTTACCATTGTTCACTTTGTCGTGCTTCTATCTTTCCACATGCTCTCATATTTTATTATTTTTGCGTTCTCATTCTATAATAAAAACATGCGAATCCCTCATGACAGCTACGGGTGGTTCCGCACGCGAAGAGAGAACGTTCTTCCTCTCTCGTCCATCACATACGAGGGAGAGACTTTCCTGGATCTGCAAAACCCCGAGCAATACCTGACGGATCTGTACGGCTACATAGGCGAGAACGCAGTCTTTGATCCAGAAACTAAAAAATACGCGCCCAAGGATAAAACTACCTAGTATAGAATGCATAACTGTTGCTTTAAAAAAAAAAGTATGACAGCACTATTATTATGCAGGGAGCATTGCAGCTAGCATCATTGAGCACATTTCAGATGTACGCCACAACCAACCATAAACAATGTCGGCCCATTCTATACACGTAAATCTGAGACCAATACAACACACACCTCTATACATAGCACACTGACTAATGATGCTAACACTAGGTTTTATACACTTATAGTCCAGTTGTTGTTGCAGAGTTTGTTCTTGGACTTCCACTACTTGCTGGCCATGTAGTTGATGAGATCCACCACACGACAGCTGTATCCATACTCGTTATCATACCTGATATATATATATCCCAGGGGAGAGGGGAGGGAAGTGACATAATGTATATATATAGGCCAGCATACACAAGACAACATGTTGCTTCAACAAAATTTGCAACAACTTCCTATAATGGGCCAAAGAAACAAAGTGGCAAGAAACAGAAGTGTACGTTGCCCTTAACTGTCAAATGCTGTACACAGTCAAACCCCATATCAAGGACATGAGGACATCTCCGTAATAAGTTTCTTCAACTAAAGTTCTTGCATGCAATCCCTGAAATAAGGACACATGGACAATTCAATTGCCCAACTTATGTCCTGAAAAGAAGAGAGGTTCCACTGTATTGGTGACGCTTGAGACTGATTCTTGTGGTGCAATTTTTGTGTGGTGATGCTTCGTTCACACGAAATCCTTCTGCACTAACCAGGAGACTAGTTTGACAAAGTTATCGTTGAGAGCAATGCCTGCTCCAGCGTCAAAGATGGTGGAGCGAGTGTCTCCAATGAAGTCACTGGACACCACCTGAGACAGAGAGAGAGGGGGAGGGGAGAGAGAGAGAGAGAGAGAGAGAGAGAAAGAGTATCATCATCATCAGGTTCAAGACTACAGGACACTCTAGACAAATTTTCACGAGAGAAAACTTGGTGCTCTTCTGGGAGAGGAAAATCACACCAGGCAAGAGTATCCTGAAGACTAACATTTTCTGTTCGCTTCATAGGGAGGAGCAAATCAGTTTCGAGGAAACAAACTCAAAAATCAGCTTCTTGCATTCATAACATCCACGCCATTGCTTCTCTACGAAGGAGAGAGTAGCTAACCTGGTCTTCAGTGTAGCCCACATACTGTCCGAGCACAGAGTCCTCTGATGCAGCCTTCACCACTTTTTTGATCTCGTCATAAGTGGCCTGAAATGCAAGCAGGTAGAAAGTTCATTACTGTCACGTGCCTATTTTGGTGTTGGACAGCTCTGTTGGACAGTAGAAAAAATCTTAATAATTGTGCGGGGGAAATCTCATCTAAACACAAATAATATACCAGTGACAGGCTTATGTTCTGTACACAACTGTTACATGTGCACTAATGCACTGCAAGCACTACTAGTACGCCAAGGTAAAACTTCCTGCGACAGCATTCCAACAATGTGGTATATACTTTGTGCACCATAAATTACAATAATACACCCAGCGCAAGGTGTTTCTAGGTATATACATAACACATCCTGCAAAACGCCTTTATCAAGGTCGCACCTGTAGAATCACCCTAAGCAGGCATGCATATGCACTGTAGCCAATACTAACATCCCAAGACTTTATTCATATCACAAAGGATGATGCAATATGGATGCACAATCTGCTAGCTAACACATCCTGCCATACACAAAGGGAGATTCCCAGTGGCACCATATTATACATACTGTAAAATTAGTGCGGGCAACCAGTTATTTACTGCCTGCTTTACACATCAGTAAGTATCGCTGAGACCATTGGCATCTCTCCTTGGCCAGAGTCCCAAGTCCCAGAGTACCGGTAACACAGACAGACACACACAAACCCAAGGTACTTTAACCCTTAGCTGAACATGGCCACCGAGGGGTTAACCAATCATGAATGAAGTGAGAATGGTTGGAGGAATAGAGAGTAGAACCTTTGAATAAGGAGACATCGAACGTGTCCCGTATCAGAGGTGCCCCCCTTTTTGTGAGGTTGGGGCAGAACCAAGTGTCCTTGATAGAGGTGTTCTCTATTTGGAGGTGTTAATGATGTAGTACTCACAGGTTTCTTGATTCTGACTGTGAGGTCAACCACAGAGCAGTCAGGTACCGGGACTCTGAACGCCATACCTGTCAGCTTCCTGAGAGAACCAGATATTATTATTTCACTGTCCATACAAATATGTACGACTCATCGAGGTTCATAAAAAAAAAATAAGCAAGGTGTATTCAGTTAGGCTACGGTTGGAAAGCCACGTATAAGAGGCGGTACTTGGGTAAGCTGTAAGAGACAGGGGTAGGAAGGAGAGTTGGGGTTTTACTAGTGCAAATGAAACACAATACTAGCAAAGTTTGTTGTTATTTTCAGCACGTACATACGCATACAGTACAATAGTAGTACCAACAATGTGCAGGTACCAGCTGAGTTGCCCTGATAGCTCGCCTAGACTGCAGAGTGTCGTGGGTTCGAATCCCACCTAGGGCAGCTCTTATTCTTTCCTTGGAAAAAAAGAGCTGTCCTGGGTGTAGTTGATTCGTTTGTTGTGCTTTTTTTGCCTTTCTACCTCGTAGTTTTCACATGCGTAAGATATTCAATACAGTCACATTGCAACATACGTGTACATTATTACATACACACGGTATAGGGCATCACCACACATATGAGAACTGTAAGAGAGCAACTGACCCATTAAGAGCTGGGATGACTTTCCCGACTGCCTTTGCAGCTCCAGTGGACGCGGGGATGACATTCTGACATGCTCCTCGTCCGTCCCTCCATTTCTACAGGAGACAACGCGAAACTCTATAATCCCAACACATTGAGGGCAGTGTTAGTAGTTAGGAAAAGTTCAGATCACTGAAATCCAAAGGCTTAAGGTTTAAGAATTCTAAAGACAGCAAAACTTTCTCTTTCTTCTACTTTTTACAACAGCTAAACAAATGTGGTAATCCATGTTCACTACTTGAAACCAGTGTATATGTATAAGCTGAGTTCTATATATGTTATGTACTACGTGCGAGGGACATACCGGATTTCAATGAACCCGAGGGCCTCCGCGTTTGTAGTGTCCCGAGCGCAGTGAGGGCACTACACGGATGGCCCGAGGGTTCATTGAAATCCGGTATGTCCCGAGTATACGGAGTACATAACATGTTTAGTGCAGAGCAAATCAGCTCCGTATACGCGCACTGCCACGTTTCCAAGCACAGGGAATTTGAAAGATGCGAGAAAGAGACGAGAGCGCAAGACCGTCATCTCGTGCGGGACTATTGAACGCCGAACGCTAGGATACGCTGCTCCGCCGCTCTAGCTACTCCCGCTGCGGGACTGTCCTCCGCCACTCATCCGAAGAAACGCGACAGGAGACCTGCACGAACCATCGCAATCAGAGAGAGGCGAATTCAGGCGCTGTGCGGGCTGCTATACCGAAGGCGTTCGCCGTAGACTTGTCGCGCGCACTCGCTCGCGGAGCACCACCCCCTTATTTGCGTAAGGTGGTTTGTGGCGGGCGTGAGCTGCCTGGCTATCTACTATGCTGTATATACATGGCAAGGAGGGAGATGGGCTGAAAGCAGACACAGAAAACTGTCTCGTGGAAAAAGAAAATCAAGATATCAGTTATTTTGTACAGATCATATTTTACGGGATACATTTCCTATGCTGTTGAACTTAACAGAAAAAACAAGGTTTCATATCATGTTTTCATGTTACTTTTGTTAGCTCACGAGGTTCATATGAGAAATCAGGAACCTCGTACTAACAAATCTGATTGGTCGATTCAAATCAGCTATGCACTAAATATAATATATAAACCGCACGGTACCACTTCTGTGTGGGAGTGCCGTTTGAATATTTGAAGTGTGAACGGAAAAGAAAAACATGTGGATTTTACCTTTCCACTCGGACCATCCACTGTCTTTTGGGTAGCTGTGTAAGCATGGACTGTTGTCTAATTGAGAGAGAACAAGGATGGGGGAGGGGAGGGAAGAGGGGGTGAGAAGGGGAGGGGGCAATGAAAGGGAGGAAGAAAAGAGAGGGGGGATGAAATGGGAGTGGAGGGAAGGGAAGAGTGGGGGAGACAGAGAAGGCATAAAAGGCAAAAGAGGGCGGAGAGACACCAGATGAGAGAGGAACGGAAAGAGAAAGAGGGAGACAAGGTGAGTCAATGACAAGAGAATGCAACAGTAACGATTGTGAAATTGTATTTACGTATCTACGTCCATCGTAGAACATTACGGTAAGGGTTGCAACTTCGGATACGACTCGCTCAGGCGACTAGGTACTAGGCTCGCTTGCCAACCAAGCCACAGTGCCTCCCACGCCACAACTGCCCACCCACCTACCATGAGTCCCTCGACGATCTCAAAGTTGTCGTGGATGATCTTGGCCAGAGGAGCCAGGCAGTTGGTGGTGCACGACGCATTGCTGCAGTGGAGAAAGATAATTATGGCAGATGAGCTTGCAGTAGGGAGAAAAACTAGCACACGGAAATATTAGGGAGGGTGGGGGGATTATTCACGGTTTGCTTTTCCTTCACTACAAATGCCCTGCGTCAAAAGATACGGACGGTATTACAGTATAGATTGATGGTTGTGTCTGCTAGAACTTGAACAGTGACATGCGGTGTAATGCACCTGTCACACTTTACAATCATGCAAAACGGCCAAAATACGTTGATGCCCATTGCCTGCCTATGCATAGATCCAAACTTATGCTCGAGAGGCAGAAGTTCTATAGATAACAACCCAATCCTCTCACCTCACAACGTCCTGACTGGACTTGTCGTACTGATCCTCATTGACTCCCATCACAAACATCGGGGCGTCGGCCGACGGTGCCGAGATTATGACCTTCTTGGCCCCGCCCTTCAGGTGACCTCCGGCCTTCTCGATAGTCGTGAAGACACCAGTCGACTCCACCACATATTCTGCACCGTTTGCACCCCACGGAATATCTGCTGGTACACGGCTGTGTGCACATGGGTGTTTACATGTTGACGAGAGAACCAGCAATAGTTATCTTCGAATTTTTACCATTAGTTGTACATAGTGCTCTTTCTTTCTTTCATATATGATGTATGGTTTATGAATTTTGCTACAATATGGATCAATGTAGTCCGTATTAAAATCTATTTGACTTTAGCTTGGCCCTTGCAATAACTTGTGCAAGTGTAAAAGAGATGTATGCTGTCTACCGCAAGTATAGAGCATGTGATGGCACACACGTGTGTAAGCAAATGTACTGCAACTGCATGTATGTACTTCAGTTCCAGCAGGTAAATATGAATATGAATATCAAACCCTACTCAGAGCCAATGACTGGGTCCTACTATCAAACCCCACTCAGAGCCAATGTACTGGGTCCTACTATCAAACCCCGCCCAGAGCCAATGTACTGGGTCCTACTATCAAACCCTGCCCAGAGCCAATGTACTGGGTCCTACTATCAAACCCCACTCAGAGCCAATGAACTGGGTCCTACTATCAAACACCACTCAGAGCCAATGTACTGGGTCCTACTATCAAACCCCACTGGGAGCCAATGTACTGGGTCCTACTATCAAACCCCACAGAGCCAATGTACTGGGTCCTACTATCAAACCCTACCCAGAGCCAATGTACTGGGTCCTACTATCAAACCCCACTCAGAGCCAATGTACTGGTCCTACTATCAAAGCCCACTCAGAGCCAATGTACTGGGTCCTACTACATCAAACCCCTCCAGAGCCAATGTACTGGTCCTACTATCAAACCTGCCCAGAGCCAATGTACTGGGTCCTACTATCAAACCCCCACTCAGCCATGAACTGGGTCCTACTATCACACCACTCAGAGCCAATGTACTGGGTCCTACTATCAACCCCCTGGAGCCATGTACTGGGTCCTACTATCAAACCCTGCCCAGAGCCAATGACTGGGTCCTACTATCAAACTCAGAGCCATGAAACTGGGTCCTAGCTATCAACACCACTCAGAGCCAATGTACTGGGTCCTACTATCAAACCCCACTGGAGCCAATGTACTGGGTCCTACTATCAAACCCTACTCAGAGCCAATGTACTGGGTCCTACTATCAAACCCCACCCAGAGCCAATGTACTGGGTCCTACTATCAAACCCCACCCAGAGCCAATGTACTGGGTCCTACTATCAAACCCCACTCAGAGCCAATGTACTGGGTCCTACTATCAAACCCCACCAGAGCCAATGTACTGGGTCCTACTATCAAACTCAGAGCCAATGTACTGGTCCTACTATCAACCCCACCCAGAGCCAATGTACTGGGTCCTATCTATCAAACCCCACCCAGAGCCAATGTACTGGTCCTACTATCAACACCCCACTCAGGCCAATGTACTGGGTCCTACTAGTCAAACAGAGCCATGTACTGGGTCCTACTATCACCCTACTCGAGCCCATGACTGGGTCCTACTATCAAACGCCCAAGCCAATGTACTGGGTCCTACTATCAAACCCCACCCAGAGCCAATGTACTGGGTCCTACTATCAAACCCCACTCAGAGCCAATGTACTGGGTCCTACTAGCTCAAACCCTACTCATCGACCATTCTTTTGGTCTTGTAGTGTCAGCGATTACCCAGCCTGTGATCACATGATCTAGCACACACTCTAAACCTGACCGGCCATTGAGAGGGGCCAGGGGTTCTAGCAGTGTGCTGTGATTGTATAGAACTACACACAAATTTGCAATAATATGGTTTTTGCCTTCCATAGTTGCTGGCAGACAAGCTAAAGTAACACACTATAGCAGAAAACAGATCTCAACATTTGCTCAATCGGTCTCCCTTACAGCCAAGCAACACATACATACAAAGTAAGTTCAGAAGCTAGCAGTTCAATTTTTCGCACCCGCTTTCTTCGCGGATATTTAGAATCACATACGTGTAATATTACAGGTAAGTGCAGTGCAACATTAATAAAATATTCAGACGACTAGCTGGGCTTGCTTCGCTAGCCAATAACCAATATCCTACTTAGTTTCCTGAAGTTAAAAACACAAGGATAATAATAATATACACAAACACTTATTTTGCTGCTTAACATTTTTAAAATGTGTGCGGACCACACATTGTATGCGATAATCGGCCACTGTAGTACCTCCTCTCTCCCTCCTCACTCCCCTCTCTCCCCTCTCACTCACATGGCGTGGACAATAATGGGCACGCCGTTGACCACCAGTTTCCCGTCCTTCACCTCAACGGTGCCTTTGAACTGACCGTGGGTCGAGTCATACCTAAACAGGTACGCCTGCAAAATTAACACAAGCACAAAACGATTGAAAAAACAATATTCTATGCAAGGGGTGAGGTTTGCTCCATGCTAAAAAAAGCTACGTTACATGCAACATTTCTCCTGCAACACATTATGATATGCCATATTGCCCAAAAAACACGGAAACTCGCGCACAAGACTTCAAATGCAACAATAAACTAGTGAAAAATTGCCAATTCTAGTCTGTGTGTCGGAGTGTTTTTCTACAAAGGGGGAGGGAGGGGGGAATCTTCCTCCTCCAAATCAAAAAAACTAAACATGCAGGAGGTTTGGCTCTCCCTAAAGCTGTCTCCTTCTCTTAAAATGTCTAGAAAACAACCCTGCAGTACTTTTGTTTTTAGCCAATAATGGATGCACTGCCACTACACCATCCCTACACATTACATAAAGGTGGCACTCCTACCAGTGGAGTAATCATTCAATTACGACCCCTACACACGTCTCAACAGCCCACACTACCCAAAATAACATTCACATAACCTGTAACCTTTGTACTGCCATGGTATGCATACTTGACCTTCTAAACTTACACTGCAATTAGACTTTCCCTCTGTCAAATGCAAACAGGTGAACTTACCATGTACTCGACATCAAGAAAAGGGTCGTTAACGGCAACCACTTCCATGCCTCCCTTTGCCAGGGCAGCCCTCAGGACCAGTCGGCCAATACGACCAAATCTGAACAACCATTAGCTTGTTCAAGTTATCCACTAGCAATCCACCTAGAAACGTACCCGTTGATGCCTACTTTGACCATTCTCGTCTTCTTGCTCTGGCTCTGCTCGGGATGCACGTCCGCTGTCGAAAAGGTACAAAATGAGGACGATTCACTACGCACGCAGCTGCTTGCACATAGCGATTCACTACACGTGCAAACTGCACGCAAAAATACAAAATGATGACGATTCACTACACGTGCAAACAGCACGCAGCTATAAATTCGGGCTAGCGCGCACAAAGACGAAGATACCCAACAGTGCAGAAGCGAATGCTTGGACCTAGAAACCAAGTTCTACGCAAAAACTCACCCTGTCTTTTTCTCTCCTGGCTCATGAACGGCGTTCAAGGGCTGCAAATGAGATGCCTCCGCAGCTGCGAACAAGGGTCGGTCAAAGGTCCAAGGGTCGAACACGAGGTAACTCTAATTAAGCGAAACGGCGAGAAATATTGCAATTAAAGAGAGGGCGTGGGACGACCATGGGACTCATACCGTGGAGCCTTGCAGTGGACGTACTGCGCCTGCTGAGCATCGTATCCTTTCTCTTTTGCTCTCTCACGTTCACCTGGTACTCTTTCGTGTCGCTCATAGGCGTACTAGGTGAGAGATAGGCTTCTTAGCTTCCAGCTACAGTAAACTAGGCTCAGGAAAGTGTCCTTGTAATAATTTATAATAGACCAACAGACTAATAGAACTAATAGAGAAAGTGTATTGTATCCTTTATTTGGGGGTCCTATTTTCTGCAGTATCACTCTATGTGTTGGACCGAAACAAATACCAAACGAAACCCAACCAACAGTCAAACACATCCTCCGTCAAAAATCCCTACAAGGGTACACGTAGGGTAAAGGATGAAAGTAATATTCCGCCTGATGTTAGGGAAAAGTACACCGATCGTATTCTTGACCTGGTGCTGTATGAAGTTGAGGAGACCCGGGCACTAAGAGAGTTTGAGCCCATCAAGATGAACACTCACTGTATATTTGCCAGGAAGTCCATTCTCTGGGGCTCCAGGGACTATCACAAGTCACTGTCAGTTGGTGAGGACTAGGCTAGTGAGGACATTGTATGTTTCCACAGTCTAATTGCACTGCATTCTCCAGCTAATAGTCAATGTAATATTCAGCATGGTTGGTTGGCCTGTTTTTCCCCTCACATGTTACAAAAAAGTACAAGTGTTGTAGTTCCCCAATATTTTTCGACAGTCACTTCTGGTAATTTTCACTGCACTCTCCAGCTATATGCAATGCATTCAGCATGGTTTGTTGGCCTGTCTATTACCCTACCAGGTTACAAAAAGTACGAACTTTTTAGGCCACCCAATTTTCCACAGCCACTTCTTATGATTGCACTGCACTCTCCAGCTATAATCAATGCATTAAGCACGGTCGGTTGGTCTGTTCTTTCCTTCATGTAGTTACAAATAATTTTATGTTTTGGCCCACCCTATCTTGCCTAAGTCACTTCTGCACACCTGTCTTTTCTCCATAAAGTCTGGACCATTCAATGATTTGTGATGATTGCACTGCATACTCCAGCTATAGTAAATCTATTCAGGATGGCTGGTTGGCCTGTCTTTCTCTTTTTTATACTCATGAAAAGTACGAGAAAGTTAGACCTACTCTTTGCCTTGCACATCCTGCAATCTTATGCTTAAGTAAAGGCATTCAGGATGGTTAGTTGGCGTTTTACATACACAGTAGGAGGACTATATGCACCCATTAATGTTCCGCAAACGTATCCTCTTCCTAATTCTGATCGTATTCTTCCCTCCATACATACACACACAAACTACCGCAGAGGAAAATGTCATCAGGTGAGCAAAGGTCTCAATGTGTAATATTATGCTAATTAATACCCTCACTATCACCACTGTGCATGCATGCATACACACTGCAGGTCTCTACCAATGTTCGTCAAGTTTCTCACAGTAGGGGCCACCCTCCATTTGGATGGATTTGTCTTTGCGCTCCCGGGGGACCTGTTTGGCCAGGAAGTAAACCGGTTTGGGCAGGCGGTGCGCCGGGTCCTAAAATGCATCTCCGACCACGACCCGAGGGGTTTCCACTGCATGAACAAGTCTTACGTCTCGAAAATTGGCTGGTCGTTCGAATTTGACGGGATTCCGGTTTTCGTGACTACGTTTGCACCGTGTTACCCTTCCAACCACGCTCGGTACGCTTTTGGAGCCAGCGAGGCTTTTATCCTTCTTCAGCCAATGTACTCATTTGCAATCCACGACATTGGACCAGACACCCCACATACAAACTGGGACAGTCCCGTTTCAGTTCGGGACAAAATCAGGGTGGCCTTCAAGGAAAATGGCAGAGCCTACCATGTACGGGACACCATTTTTTACCCGGCGGCACATGACATAGTCAAGCCTTTGAAAGAAGGAGTGGGTGACTTGGTTGAATGGTGGGTTGACCCTGACAGCGTGGATGGAGAGGAGGAAGAGGAGGGAGATGAGGGGGAGGAGGGAGAGGGGGAGGAGGGGGAGGAGGGAGAGGAAGGTGAAAGTGGGGAAGAGGGCAGCAGTGGTGATGAGACAGTTAGCAACGAAAGCAAGAAAAAGCAGTGAGGATGGACCAGACCAAAACTGTAGTTCGTTTTGTGTTTCTAGTTGTCTGTTTCAATGATTAATTGGTTAGCGCACGCCTCCCTTCCTAACTTCCCAAGTCACTTCTGATGAATGCACCCTAAAGAAGCTGCCTTCACCCCTGATGCCAAAATGCATGGTGTGCACATAGTATGTTCCCTCCATAGTAGGAAAGCAGATTCCTATGCCAAGGGTTTTGCACAGACGCATCCTTGATGTGATGGACTATTATACTGAGAGGAGGGATGAGAGGGAAAGGATATAGGCAAGAGAAAGTGATCATCAATCCAAAAGTGTTTCTTGTCATCTGCCGTGACCTCTGTGCTTGCTCTTGCCGTCAGTTTGACCTTTATACTTTGATTCTGTGGAAGAAAGGGAGAAAGAGGGTGGGGCAGTATGTCAATATAATGTATATATAAACAGCGGATTATGATCCAGATTACTAATCCTGACTAAAAAGTGGCGTGTAAACACGCCTCATGTCAAGTGAACGCTGCAGCTGCATTATATGGTTGGTTCATCTCTTTTTCGACTGATGTGAAATTACAAGGTAAGGATTAAGGAAGAGAAAGAGGGGAGATGGAGAGGGAGGGGTCTTAGAACATGGAGCTCACTCAAAATGGCGGAAGAGTGGCCGGTGATGTTGAGTCTTCCCATTATCCTCTTCAGTCCACTCTTCCTCCTCATCGCCCTCTGCTATACTGTATGGTATCATCTTCCCACTCCCTACCCCTTCCATACCTGAACACAGAATAACACACCGAGAGAGCTGCTTTAGAGCAGATGAAGAAATGGCATTCTTGCATGGAGAACAATACTGGTGTGAGGCGTAAGGGCTACTAGCTAGGCATTTGTTGCCGAATTTTTTGAATGCTGATCACGTGCCATCTTACATAATTGAGTGTCTAACTGACACTCCAATAAATGTTTGCACAATACCTACAGGTGAACACAAATTGGTTGGACTTTAGATGGATATTAGTGCGTTTGTGTAGAGATAAAGAACTTCAGTAAACGAGAATTTCATACATAAAAAGTAAAAGTGCACATGGCTATGTAATACTTCTTGCCCTATTACCTGGGGCTCCAGCCATGGAAGAGGTTGAATGGCCGACTCCAGTGGCGTGACCAACTATCTTCATCTCTCCTCCTCCTCCTCCTCCACCATGTGAGACTGGATCTGAGAGCTATACACCAGTACATACGTATGTATATAGATATAGCTCATAACAAGTCAAAAATGACCGTCTTTATGATTTTTACGGACGATCAATATAATATTATAACACGATATACCAATGGCTGTTCACCTGGGACGACGGCGTAAGACCATCAAATGTATCTTACAGAGGTCAATACATACACATTGTGGAAGAGACTTGCCCTTAACAGACACGAGAATTCTACAGCAAAGCATACGCTCTACTTCCTCCGTCTTTCATGCATTATATCTGCCACTGCCATCCAAACCAAGTACCGTAACCCTCGCTGAGCATGCGCGCCGAGGGTTAACAACATATGTACACTCAAAAAGCTACATACGTAGTAAGACTCATGTTGCTCGCCCATAATTGCTCAACTCATACCCTCTCATTTCCACTAAGTTGCACAAACTAGCAGATCTCTAATGCGCATGTATACAGTGGAACCTCCGAGATAGGGATGACCTCTCTACAAAGGACACTTGTTTCACATCCATGCTAATACTTTAGTGTATTATTTGACCTCCGAGATAGGGACGACCTCTCTACAAAGGACACTTGTTTCAACCCCATGCTAATACTTTAGTGCATGATTTGACCCCCGAGATATGGATGACCTCTCTAAGAGTGACAAAATCGTTGGTCCCTTGTTCGGAGGTTCCACTGTATACCTTTTTCGTGCCGAGGGGCTTCCCCGAATCAGCTCTGAAGTTGTTGGAGGTGGTGGAAGGTCTGAGGAGGATGTCTGAGGATCGAACTCCGCCACTGGGCAGCTGGAGTCTCCGGAGCTCCTGCAGCTCTGAAAATGCAGCACTAGAGTTGCGCTGGGAGAACGTGGACTTCCCTCGCACCGCTGGCTGGGAATGCTCTGGGGGGGAGAAGGCTTTGTTCATTCTAGGTACTATTCTTTCTGGCGGGGAATCAGGTCAGTATAGGGGGACGTATATGTATGTAAGGCCTAAATTTAGATTCTTGCACTGCCTCTATTCTATATACCACATTCTCTCTAACCCAGACTGTATTTTCTGACGATGCACTCGCTTATCTGAACCTTGAGAGGGAAAAACTAAAAAAACGGGGCAAGTGCCACCATGACAACGGGCTAGGTAAAAAGTGGGCTTCATACCTGTAGGTATAGGAATGCCAGTAGTCCCACCCCCAATCTCAAGTGGAGGAAGTTGGTTGTTCCTCACCACATGACTGCCGCCCACCACACCCATGAGACCACCTGAAGCCACACCCCCTCCGGCAGTAGGGGGCGGGGACAGTCCCACAACCCCAGCACCACTAGCAGCATTCACAGGCAGTCGGTACCTGTGGTGTTTTTGAGGTCTGGTTGATTGTAACTCGAGGGTCTAAACACGAGGCAAGTACATATCAGCAAATCCCGAACAACACAAAAACAGAACTGCTCTATACAGAGCACTCAGACATAGTTCTCTACCACTCAATATCACGGCATCTCAGCGGCTCAAACCTCCAAATGCGGTTGGTTTTCTGCACCATGCACATAAATATGGACTATATAGCTAGCTATGGGCCTAGCTTTTTAACACAGGTCTTGTCAATAACAGCCACTCTAAACTCATAGTTCTCCCTCTGTTCAAAGTCAATATCAGAGACTGTTACTACATTCCCAGGGGTTTGTTCTATGCCAGAGAACCCACGTGTGTGCGTGTATAGAACGCAACAGTACCCTCGAATCTGAGCTGACTCAATCCTCTCCAGTGCAGGTGTTCTTGGGTGTTCGATGGGCCTCAATTGCTGAGGTCTTCTGGAGGCATTCAGTGGTCCCACACGACCAGAGTAGAGCCCTCTGTAGCCACTGCTCCCCACTCCAGCTACCGGAGGAGAGTACGGCAGAGCTGAGAAATAGAGAAGGAGAGAACAGTTCTTGCATGATGGCATTGTGTTGCTTGGTTTGCCTTTGCCTTGAGACAACTCTCTAGTAATTAGGACACAGCTATTCCAAGAGGAGTTCTTGAATTATCTAACCCCTGTAATTAGGACACTTCTCTAAAGTGAACCCTTTCTTTCCCCAAAAACAGTTGGTTCATGCATACAATTACTAATAATATCGACAGTTCATTCCGTCCCATTAGTGTCAGGACTAGAGAGGAGTTCCACTGTATATACAATACTTCCTCTGTATAAATCACCGGTGGCCAAACTAGCCACATGTAGACTTACATGGTAGTCTAGGGTAGTAGTTGTGTAGACCAGGGTCAGACGGCTGAAGATGGTTTATAGCGGTGGTGGTAGTGGTGGTGTGATTATTGTGATGGTGGATGGAGAGACGACTGAGAATCTCCTCCACTCTGTCACTCTGATGTAGCAGAGACCTACAAACAACACACGTTGTACAGTTGAACCGCCGAACAATGGACACATTTGGACCAGGCATTACGTCCTTTATAGGGAGGTTGTCCTCTCTTCCGAGGTTAATGTGCTAGAATAGTAGAGAAAAGTGAACATTTGGGACCTCAAACTGCGTCCTTTAGATAGAGGTTTTTTTTCTATTCTGCCCTCTTTTGGAGTGTTCTATATTGGAGGTTCAACTGTACCGCACTGCAGTAAATCCACACACTAACAAGTGTCCTATTTGTAGAGGTACGCAAATAACTCTAAGAGAATGCAGTGAAACTTAGTTTTATCTCATCCTAGACTCACATATTCCTGTGCCTGAGGGAGACGGGTCGTATGTGCATGAGACCAGAGAGAGGAGGAGGACGTGTGACTAGTCGCGGCAGTACGGCGGCTGGTGGAGTCATCAGATAACTACTGGTGGCTGGCTTGTCCTGGTAGTACTGTATACCATAGTAAAAACATTAAGCATAGATTTAAGTGAATAGCCCCCCAGAAATGTTCTATATACTTTTCTCCCTACAAGATACAAGAAGAACTCTTGCAAACACTTGGATGTTTTTTTGTATACCCTACCACCAAAGAAAGTGTCCTTATTAGTGCTGTGAGGTTTCCTCTTTTCAGGGGTTTGGGGAAAGAAAAGAATCCGCTTATTAGAGAATTGTCCTCATTTCGTTTTTGAGAAATATCTTCATTTCAAGAGTGTCCCTTTAGAGAGATTTAGGTGAGACAGCTAAATTTGGGCAAGATAAGGATAGGTGCAGCGAGATAGAAGACATTTCCATTCCATACTCCAACTTTAGTCAAAGCATTAAGGATAGTTGGGTAATCTCTTTTTCCGCTCATGTGTCCTACAAAAATGCGATATTGTTGACACCCTCATTTGGGGGGACAGCAAGATATGGGCAAGATAAGGATAGGTGCAGAGAGATAGATCCTCGTTTCCATTCAGAGAGGCGTTAGTTAGTTGGTACCTGTGTGTGGTGGAGGGCGGTAGCACGACCGGTAGTGGGCAGTAGAGGAGGACGAGAGAGGAGGAGGGAGGATTCGTGAGGTGAGGTGCTGTGAGAAGTAGCCAGAGACGTCTGCAGCGACTGTCTACTGCTCTGAACTACTCGGGGGGAAAAAGAGACAAAGCATTAAACATGGAAAACCGAGATATGTAAAAAAAAAAAGAGAAACATTAAGCCTACAAGTGGTTAAAATTGTCTCATTGTCTATCACATATGTACTGTACTGAAACCGAGCCTAAAGGACCACAAAAAGTTCCAGTCATAAAATCCACCTTTCAGAGCCCGGTCCCTGGTGGCAATAAGAAGAGGTAATAGAACGGTGACCACCTCACTCCACAGAACATCAAACACTTGACTAGAGACCACCTGATGTATACTAGACACTGGGGGGTCCGGATTGTGGGGGGCCGAAGGGGGGCTGCTGAATTTACCCCTCTTTCTTCCCCGACCCCCGTGATTAGCACTGCTGAATGAGAGAGACAAATTAAAACATTTGTCCCTGTAGTCTAATACTATACTATATTGCTACAAATAGCTACACTGTATGTGCTACAAGGCAAGTCTAAAGCTTATTGGCTACTGTTATCTTCATACATTTCAGGGGCGTAGGAACAGGGGGGGCTATGGGGGCCAGGGCCCCCCTTTTCTTTTGTTAGTTCGTACCTTGCCTGCCGCGCCACCAGCGACCGCTTTTATGCGCACGTATACACGTACATACGTACGTACATGTAGCCTCGCGGGCGGGAGGCGTGGCTCCGCATGCGCAGTTCGCCGAGGGTTTGCACTTTAGTGCTTTTCATTACAACATTACTAAAATTTTGTGCCCCCCCCAATGCAAAACACTTTCCTACGCCCCTGCATTTGATAGTAGTACGTACCATTGCACCTTCTCTAAGGATACGCCTGAAATGAGGACACCTCTCTAAATGTTGTCTTTCCCCAAGAACAGTTGCATGTACGTAAGGACACATTATTATGTTAGTCCTATGCACAATCCCTATTATTCTGATACATAGGCTGTGGTTGCATACTGACACTTCACCTTCCATCGAAGGCAATGTATTCTTCCAGTACCCCATGTTGTGCCAGAACTTCTTCTTTCAGGGATTCCTCTTCTGCAACAGTACAGAGACACATACAGTACAGAAGGAGACAACGATTGCTACTACTAATAGTGTATGCGTACTGTGTAGTGGACTCTCGACCCCTGAACTGAACAGCCCAACCCACGTTTTTTTTCAGAGGAGGTACTGTATATGCGTGCATTGTTGGTCATATCTTTCCTTAACCTGTCGTTCTATGTACAGTATTTGTTGTCACGCATATTTTCGCCTGTCTTACGTTGTCATTTCTCAGTATGACCAGAGTTTATTTGAGTGTGTGGGGGGCATTATAATTTTACCTGGAGCATCAGATAGAGTGATTGGTTCCAAGTGTCTTCCAATTACAACGAGATCACTGTGGGATGGAACACACGACAGCATATTAGCCACTGCTACACTTCGTAATTCCTTCACTCTAGTATTGGGGCTTTATATAGCATGTGAAGAGCTGGCTATCATTTTCTCTATGGCATTGTGTTTTGTCAAGAGTAGGTAATTAGGACAGTAGAACTCATTTTTAATGCATGGAAAAGTTCTCAACGTGAATGTGTATGCTCTAACTCAGAGTCCTCGACTGCGTCATGTGATCTCTCGTCAGTGACAGTATTAGAGGAGTCCTCCCTATAGATCGGGGCAGCAATCTCCGTACCATCGTCCATGGTGTCAAACAGATGTTCACCCTGCACTCTGGACAAAACAGAATGAAATATCAGGTTTAGTAAGTAAGTAAGTAAGTAAAGAGAGCCTAATAGTAATCTGAATTGGACAATAATTACATCAATACATCAAGCATGAATTGAACCTACGAGTGACTGTTGAAAAAGAAGGTTGGACTAAACTTTTAGTAAGATGTAGATCCAATCCTAAAACAGACAGGCCAACCAACTACCCCATAGCTGCGAACGGTCAGAAAATAGGCCTAAACCTTTTGTACTTTTAGCAAGCAAGTGGAGAGAAGGATAGACCAACCAACCATCCTGAATGGCTTGACTATAGCTGGAGAGTGCAGAGAAAATAGGGTGGCCTAAACCTTTCGTACTTTTAGCAAACAAGTGGAGAGAAGGACAGGCCAAGTAACCACCCTGAATAGCTTAACTATAGCTGGAGAGTGCAGAGAAATTATCAGTACTGACATATTAAGGCATTTCTCAGAAAGTGTATGGATCATGCATGTTAGGAGGACTTTATTGGACTGGCTAGTACATGTGTATGTGTAGATTTTTTTGCCCACCCCCTGGGAAATTTACCCCCCACACACTAAGAGAAACTAAATCCTTTATCCCTCCTCTCCACCTCAACTAACTGGAGGTGGGGAAATGTGGAAGACCACTCGCGGCATTCTCCGTCAGTCTGACTAAAGCCAGACTCTCGTCCTTCAAACAGGGCTCTGTTGAGACAGCGGAACATCCGATTCACCATCTCCGTGGCCGCCCTGTCATACTCCTGCACTCAAATCAAACAGGAAACATGTATTAAAACAAAGGTCTGGAAATTCATTCAACACATTGATGGGCATGAAAAGTGGATTGATGCCAACTTCAACAACTGTGCCAAGAATGCAAAAGGGTATTATAAAATATTCATCACTGACCCCTTCCTCGTTGGACCAGGCAGAGTAGCGACCTGATTGAGCTGGAGCCCCCGTCAGAGTGGCCTCACTCCATCCCTGAACCATCTCTCCCCTACATTGGACACAACACACGCATACTGTATTGGACATGTGGTGGCTCTTTTTTCACTGCTTTCTTTTTCTTCTCTCCCTCTTCCAACACCATGTAGCAGTAACGTACATTACTGTCAACAGTAAGGCTGATTTTTATAGTTAAACACAGTCGGTCAATATCTCATTCCTTCTCTCTATATTATACACACATACAGCCATAACCTATATACCGTAGCTACTAAGCTAGCTTAGAGCACTACAAACCATCCATTGTACACACCCTAGTACCCTGCTATCAGGCCAGGTCATTCTTAGAGAGGGCCTGGATCCCAGACACCTGTTCTCGTGTCGGTTGTAGAGAAGGCTATGGAGCGTTGGGGTAGGTGTTGAGGACAATTCGGGGCTTGATGTGGCAGCAGTGTCCACGTTCATACGTGCTGCTGTACTATCAGCTCCGTCCGCAGGGTGGATGGGCTCTATTTAGGGTGCCCTGTTACCGGAGATACCGATAAACAAATCCGTTATAATAATGTAACTTACTTCGCTGTAATGTTCAATCTAGCGGTGGACATCTTGGAGAATTAATCATTAGCAGAAAAACAGCAGCTCTTCGCCATTTCCCCAGTAAGAAAAGCCGACAGAAAAGCGTGGCGCGTTTCGATGACCTCTCGCCCACGCGGACCAGGTGCGCATGCGCATAAATCAAACGACCTAGAGTAATTCGCCGCGATAGCTGCAACTCCGCGACTTTCTGTTTGCACCGAGCGTCTTCTGTTTTGAGAGTCCGTGTGGGCCATGAGTGAAGTAGAGGGAGAAGCGGGGAGTGCGGCAGACTCTCCAGCAGTTATGGGGGAGAGAGAGGCGCCCGTTTTACCCGTGTCTCAGTCTTCACCCATCTCACCACGCCCTGTAAGGAGGGGAGATGCCGGGGTGGTGTTCGTAGTATAGTGTGCGTTTTGTGGGCGGCTTTTGTGAAGTATATATAGTTGTACTGGATCCGTTGTGCTAAGTCTTCCAGGAGGTCTGAAAGAAGCATAATTAGTAATGACATCTTGGTGAAAGAATAAAATCTCAAACAAATTTGTCCCTTGTAGCTACTGGAATGTTTGCTACATTCCCTAACATACAAACCAGAGCATGGTAGTGTATGGCTAGAAACTTTGAAAGGGGAAAACTTTCGCAAAGTATCGGCATGCAGGGATAGAACACTTTCACACATCGCTGGTATCTTCAAGACCTTGTCATGTACCAAATTTTGCATGAAATTCGTGAAATTCGTGAAATTCTCTCTATGAGAAACTTATTGCTATACAGTACTGTAATAAGATGATAATGAAACGAAGTTCCTTGCGGATCCATGCATATGTAATGCATTTCCGCACATGTATAATGAGACGAAAGTCTCTTTCTGATTATGTATGTACTGCATTTCCGCACACAGGGAGAGGAAGATGAAACGTCCACCATCAACAGCTCGGTGTCCACACAGACGGAGCCCCCGCCACGAGGGGTCAGCGACCTCTGGGGTCTCGATGAGCAGATCGACAAGTGGCAGGTGTCGGCCATGCCCGAGGAGAAACACTACTTCTCTATGGACGTGAGTTATGACGCTAACAATTCTGTCTGTCTCTCTCTCTCTCTCTCTCAGCCGTCAAGCATGTGTATAAAGTGGAAGCCCTCTAATCCAGACACCAATGGGACAGAGGAAAGTGTCCGTTTTAGGGAGGTGTCCTTATTTCTGTGGCGTGCGATCACGAAAGAAAAGAGAGAGGTGTCCTTGTTTCACTTAGCTGGTCCCACTGTCATTACATAAAGAGTGCCTTTCAGAATTTTTGTCTACACAACTTTACTCCTTATCCTTTGGGAGTACGGACAAATACACACACGAGAGACAAAACAAATGGCATGCACACACAAGTGCTATTGGCAGCTCTGCTGTCTGTGCACTTTGGAGTTCATACCACCTCTTATAATTTCAACCGTTGGGCTGAGCATGTTGAAGCCACGTGTTGAAAGTGTAGTGTGGGCAAAGTGTGTACATTTAGTAATGTAGACCCACGAGGAAAGTTTTCTTAACTAAACCGTCGTCGTTGTTTTGTTTCGATGTAAGAAATGGTTATATCACGTACACCAGTTGAAAGTTTATTCCTGTATATACCTCTCACTGAATGTCCATGTAATGTAGTGTGTTATTGAAGGCAATATGGTTCATGATCGTAGTGTGATAATTTCTCCATCGTTCCCATACCGTTTGGCTTTGTGCTCAGTAAAAAATCACATGATGATGATGCAATGTGTCACATGTCAATGTACAGTATGTAGTGTGTGTGGATGTGAGTTACGGTGCATTACATGTGTAGGAGTCAATTTGGAACAGCCTCATATCTGTTGAGTAGGTGTATTATCAATTCACATGAGTATGCACCATACTATAGTTAGGGTCTATATAGCCATCTGCAATGTTTTTTTAGGGGACCATTGCAATGTTTTCCTCAAATATTCTTACCTTCCTACTGCAATTGTTTTATCCCTCAGTACACAAAACCATATACAGTTTAGGGACTGACGCCCCCAATACAATATCTATGCTGTATTATACGTTCTACATTATGCTACATACAATGGAACCCCTCTCAAGGACACCCCTGAATGAGGAGACTTATTATTTCCCCAAGAACAGTTCTTGCCCGCAATCTAGCCCCTGCTGTACGGATACCTCACTAATATGGACACTTTGTCCACCCCCATTGGTGTCCGGATTAGTGGGGTTCCACTGTACCACGTTTCACTTGTCACTAATATGGACACTTTGTCCACCCCCATTGGTGTCCGATTAGTGGAGTTCCACTGTACCACGTTTCACTTGTCACTAATTATGGACACTTTGTCCACCCCCATTGGTGTCCGGATTAGTGGGGTTCCACTGTACCACGTTTCACTTGTCACTAATATGGACACTTTGTCCACCCCCATTGGTGTCCGGATTAGTGGGGTTCCACTGTACCACGTTTCACTTGTCACTAATATGGACACTTTGTCCACCCCCATTGGTGTCCAGATTAGTGGAGTTCCACTGTACCACGTTTCACTTGTCACTAATAATATGGACACTTTGTCCACCCCCATTGGTGTCCGGATTAGTGGAGTTCCACTGTAGTACCAACCCACTGTTTCACTTGTCACTATAATATGGACACTTTGTCCACCCCCATGGTGTCCGGATTAGTGGCGGTTCACTAGGTATCACGTTTCACTTGTCACTAATCTGGACATCTTTGTGTCCACCCCCATTGGTGTCCGGATAGTGGGGTGTGTGTTTTCACTAGGTACCACGTTTCACTTGTCATAATCTGGACACTGGTCCACCCCCATTGGTGCCGGCGATGTAGCGGAGTCTCACTGTACCACGTTTCACTTGTCACTAATATATGGACACTTTGTCCCACCCCCATTGGTGGTTTGGGTGTCCCGGATTAGTGGGTTCCACTGTGTACCACGTTTCACTTGTCACTAAGATGGACACTTGTCCACCCCACATTGGTGTCCGGATTAGTGGGGTTCCAGCTGTACACACGTCACTTGTCACTAATATGGACACTATTGATCTCACATTGGTGTCGATTAGTGGGTTCCACGTTAGTACCCCTGTTTTCACTTGTCACTAATAATATGGACACTTTGTCACCCCCATTGGTGTCCGGATTAGTGGGGTTCCACTGTACCACGTTTCACTTGTCACTAATATGGACACTTTGTCCACCCCCATTGGTGTCCGGATTTATGGGGTTCCACTGTACCACGTTTCACTTGTCACTAATATGGACACTTTGGTCCACCCCCATTGGTGTCGCGGATTAGTGGGGTTCAACTGTCCACGTTTCACTTGTCACTATTGGACACTTTTCCCCCCATTGGTGTCGGATTATGGAGGTTTGTTTTTTGTTTTTTTTTTTTTTTTCCACTGTACCACGTTTCACTTGTCACTAATATGGACACTTTGTCCACCCCACATTGGTGTCCGGATTAGTGGGGTTCCACTGTACCACGTTTTCACTTGTCTCGTGGTTCTTGCCTACAGCCCACCCTGATCACAGCTGCAGTTACAGCCGTCAAGTCAAGACTGACAGAGCCTGACAGTAACATCAGAGGCACCTGGCTACTCACCGAGTAGCTTTGTCATCATCGTGTCGTTGTTGCCCGCTTAATCAACATTCCTATCAAACCTGCTCATTTCTACTCTTGCTCTCCCTCCTCCCACTCCCACTTCTCCACTCTAAGCCCACTCTGGAGAGGAAAGGTTTCCTTGTTTCATTCATGGAGTTAAACTGCTACCAAGAGTACATAGTTTCTGTCCTGGCTATGCAATATACTCCCTCCTTCATCTACTCTACGCTTTCTGTCTTTACCCTCCCCCCTCAAATCTTCTCTTGTCTCTCTCTCCCCCCTCTTCTCTCTCTCTCCCTCTCCACAATAGAATAGACCACTGGGATCTAGAGAAAGAGAGACTACTGATGTTAACAGACAACAATCTCATCTCCGTTCGCTACAACTTCATCCAGGGTGTGGTGGAAGAGTTAAAATTTATTCCACTCGGTGCTATCACCAGTATTGTCTTTGGTGACTTCAAATACCCTTCCTCTTATGCCTAGTAAGACACACACACGGTTATATACGTACTAGTAAGATTTAAACCTCTGAAAAGGGGGCCCTCTGAATGGGGAACACTCTCCAGGAATCCATAAGTTCTGAATAGGGTCGCCTCTTACAATGCCCTCAAGATTTTCTTTTGTGTGTACATGTGGGTCAGTAGCAAGTGGGACTCATGATTTTGTGGGTTCACATTGTACTGGAGGTATATAGAGTCTTGTCTTTCCCCCCAGCTCTCGAACGGGGAAAGCCGTCAAGATATTCTGGGGCAAGGAAGAGGGCATGGGTTTCTTCGACCGCTGGAACCCTTTCTCCACTCGCGTTCCCTACACCATTTTTGCCTCTCACCTGATGATGAGAAAGGGCCGCGTGGACAGCGACCAACTACGCGTGGCTAAAGTCATCCCGGAGCTCGAAAAGGCCATAAATGACATCCGGAGAGCTAGCCGCACGGGACAGCAGGAGCAAGGACAAGACGAGGAGGCTTCTGCGGCAGGCTCTGCATCGAGTGTCGTGGAAGAGTATAACGTGACAGATGGAGATATTGTGGTGGGTTCGTACGTCGGGCTCGGTGCTCTCATTCACAATGACAGTAATCTGGGTTTCTTCAAACGGAGGGGCCTCATGAACTGGTGACTACTTATCTCTATGCCGTGGACCTTATAACACCACCGTCACATTGTGTATTGTACGGTAATGATAGGATGAAGTCACATTGCATATAATACTGTAAGGAGCACTCAGGACTGAAAATTATAAACCATCCATTTACCGCTACTTTTTTTGTGATGTGCAGTCTCATTATGTTGTTCTGGTCAATCTGATAAACAACTGCACTAACTAATTTTGTAAACACCAATTGAACGGAAAAGGTCAATTTGTGAGAGGTACCCTAAATTAAGGGGGTAATATGCATGCAACTAACTGCTGTTTGGGAAAGAAAAGAGAGATTCGGGGTGTCCTTAGAGCCATATAGATTCAACGCGCTGTAGTGTGCGCATGCGCAAAATCAAGTGCCACCCATATATATATGTACGTACGTACGTACGTGTGTGTGGGGGCGGGTCGAAAAAAGCTGGGCGTGGCTAGTAGTCGCAAAGCCGGCCAAGATCTAGTGTAGCAGCCAAAAATCTACAGCGGCAGAGATCCCACGGGCTCCGTATTGACCGGTCATGTCGCTCAACATTGCCTACAAGTACAAGGTGCAAGTGCCCGAGGTGTCTCAACGAAAGTTGGAGGGGCTGAAAGTAAAGAGGCGGTACCCGGGAAAGATCCCGGTGAGTCCTGCAGCAGCTATACAACTAAACTTAGGCTAGTCACGTGTGAGTACAACCCAGTAACGAGTATACCGGTATCGTGTAGTCGCATTATGGTCAGATGTGCTATGTTCTGCACAAATCACCCGTACAAGAAGTTAGAGTTGCAACTTGCCATTGTACAAGTACATCGCACAAAGCAAGGCAGAGGGTAAAGAAAAAACTGTAAAACAGACTGCAAGGGCTTTGGATGGTATATACACATGTATGTGTGGGTACATTGGCTTGTCAACTCCTATTGTGTATGTAGGCAAGCATGTCGTGTGAACAGTAGTGCACCTTTTGAGGTACTTTGGATTGTGCAGCAGTCAGCATCCCATCAATTCCCCCTCTCTCTCTCTCTCTCTCTCTCTCATACTGTCTGTTTGTCCCACACACATGCTGGTACATAATATACAGCTAGTCATTGGTAGAGTGAAAAACTCCAACCTCTCAGAGCTGGCCAAATGCAAGTTTCTCTTCCCTGCTACTGCCACAGGTATTGTTGCACTATCTCCTCCATTGTATGATGGCACCTCTGAATAAGGGGTACCTTTGGGGACTTCGAAAGTGTCCTTTATCCAAAAGTTTACTTTTTCTAAGGTAGGGTGGGAGCATTAGTAGTGTACCAAGTCTCCTTTATTGAAAGGTGTATTCGGAGAGGGTTCAACTATATTCCGCTTTCATCCCTTTCCATTTGCTATATACAAAGTCAGTTTACTACATCTGAAGGTCGGGACTTTACCAAGCGCCTAATGCACACAAGCAAACTGTGGAGTTTGCACAACATCATATTAGTCGTGTGATAGCTCAGCATTTCCATAACACCTCTTGAAGGACACTCATGACAATAAGGCGCCTCTGTACAATTGTACAAGAACCCTCAAACAGTTACCATGTCACAGTTCACATAAGTTGGGGACTTGGCAAATGCATGAATCGTTGATTTGGCCAAGAAAGTTTCATATCATATTATGTGGGCATGTATAGTATTATACATTGTGGTAAGAGCATGTATTATACCATGCCCATCCATACTAAAACTGTTTCCCCCCCACCAATCTATTGCCCACAGTTGGAGACCTGTGTCACTATATCAACAGCAAACTACACAGAACGGAAGAAGCACCCATGTACATCTATGCTAACAGTGAATTAGTCGTGTCGAAAGGCAGCGTCATTGCCGAGGTCTACCAAGAGTACAGAGAAGACGATTTCTTTCTCTATCTCGGCTACTATGAGGAGAACGTTTATGCAGATATTGGCAGGGAATCATGATTTAATGTGTGTGTTTTATTCAACTTTCACATCACTTTTATTAGGGTATATGTAATAATTATCGTTTGTGTGGATTTTAAGTGTATAACTTTTCGCGAATGCAAAACTTCGCAAATTCTGCGATTTCATGAAATTGCAGAAGGGCTTGCCTTGCTATGAATTACACCTCACCTACATTTCCTACACTAGCAAGATAACAATAGACACGGAATGAATAATAGACAGCGATGTGATACTCCATTATGTGATGGGTGTCAGGGTGCAGGGAAGGAGTTTTATCCTCCCAGTTCTCAGGAGCAGTTCAGAGTCTATGGTGTCCATGTGCTTCACTTGACTCCTAATGTAGCAGACCATCGTCTCTAGGTCAGTCAGACTCACCGCCTCCTTGTCCCCTATCAGATTTCTGAACAAGAGACACCTCTGAATAAAGGACACTTTCAATGTCAGCAAGGCTTCTCTTATGATAACAGCGAAACCCCTCCCTAAGGACACCCCTGTACTATGTATGTATGTATATATGTTGTATGTATGTATGTATGTATGTATGTATGTATGTATGTATGTATGTATGTAGAATAAAATCCTATTCTCCAGGTGCTAGGGCCAATACTATGTCACAGTTAGAGTCTAGGACAAATCCCTAATAAGGACACCTTTTCTCTCTCCAAGCACATTTCTTACATGCAACAAAATAAGGACAGCTCACTAACATGCTTCTGCCCAATTGGTGTCCAGATTAGAGGGTTCCACGGTATAAGCTAGTGGACAGTGGACATAACTCACCTCCAAATGGCCGCTGCTAGTATCTTATCACTCAGGAGCAGCCCCTACACAAACATCAGTGCAGTACAAATGTCAAAAAGGTATAAGTATACCAGAGAGCAAGTATTATACATTCCTACAAAATTTCCTTGTTTTGGTTTTTTGGTTTAAGAAGAAGATGATGAACAAAACAGCCTATCATAGCCCCATACATCTATAATGGTACAGCCCATCCCTATACTATCGTATTGAGTGATAAGACTTGAACTTCTGGTATTATAATATGTGTACCTCTTCATAGGCGACAATGAGTCCGGAGAACATGCCACTCCAGGCTCTCATACTCTTAGCAATCAGTGAACTTGAGTGAACCTGTACATGAACCACATGCAGTAATATACACACCAGGCAAGTGCATATCAAACAAATCAGGACAACAGTTGCATGATTTTCAAGCCATCTTTTTCTTCAGCAATGCCAGCAAATATCAATATACATGTAGATACATTACCCACATCTGTTGACTTGAAAAGGCAAACAATTGGTGTTTTGTAGGCTCCACTGTATTTAATGGGAATATGTGCCAGTATAAAGATGGAAAATGAACAAAAAGAATTCAGTGCAAAACTTTAATAAGGTTTGCGTTTTAGTATAGCAATTCAGATATTATACTGCTACATACAAGGATTAACAGTTAGCCACAGCACATTATAAGTGAGGATTAAAATTTACCCCGAGTGCCCGTGGTCTCTGCTTCACGTCTTCCCAGAACATTTCCACCAGTTGCTTGGTCAGAAACTGTCCGTCTTCCCCCTCTCTCCTCAGTCTGACCATCACCAGCCACATGTGGAGGTGGGCTACGAGGAACCACGAATGCATTGAGTCGGGCAGCTTGCACACTGGTGAGGAGATGGGTAAGGGGAAGGAGGAAGGAGAGGGAGGGAGGGAGGGAGAGATTTCACAATCTGTTGCTAGAAAAGCTATATAGCATATCGCTCACATTATACATGTGGACACTGCAAAAGTAACGTAATCTGTCGGCAGAGAGGCTAGCATTTTGCTCACATTATACAATATGGACATTGCTTGATTAACGTTCATATAAATATACGTGGGAGGTTTTCTCTAGCTATGCAGTGGAACCTCTGTATATAGGACACGCTGGGATCATAGAAATTGCAGCATGCACAATAGTTTTGAGGTGGGAGGGAGTGAGACAGAGTGGAAAAAGAAAGAGGATATGGAAGCAAAGTGTGAAAGAGCAGCATAACATTTCCATACCTCTGAAGAAAGATTCATAGTCTATATCATCAAAAGTGTTCTTGTAAATCCACAATGCACTGCGGCGCAAGACCTTCGCAAGAACCAACAGACATAATACATGAACAACTACAATAGCAGACTTGATCATCCTTACATTTTTCCGTGAGTAAAAACCTGTCATTCTTGCAAAAGCTTTCAGTGCTCTCATTCCTATTGTATCCGTTTCCTCTGCACTCTGTTTCACAGCACATTCAGTTTTGTTCTCCTTAAATAAAGATTGGCTCTAATTGGAACATACAGCCGTTGTAATTATGTAACCACCGAAAGTTAACTCAACGGTAATGTTACTATTCCACACTCCAACTACAGCCTAACAATTGGGAATGATTTATTTGTCTTTGCTTTATCTGACGTGCTTCCAAAAAAATGCAAAACATTAATCCTCTTTTGAGGCGGAGTGGGGGTTGTGGCAGTAAGATGGATATGGGAGAGGGGTGCATTGTGTACATTTCGAGTGTTAAAGTCAAAGTGAGTCTTACTATTCCATACTCCAACTACAGGGAAATTGAAAAGCATGGCTGGTTTGTCTTTTCTTCATGTCACGTGCTTCCAAAAAATGCAAAGAGTGGAATATGTATAAAAGTATTGTTCTAGTTCGCTTATAGTGACTCGTTTATACATATAGTGGCTCTTAGCATATATATTCGCTCTTAGCATATATATTCGCTCTTAGCATAATAATAGTGGGTCTTAGCATTTAGCTACCCGCTGTGAATCCAGTTCTTGGGAGCTGTGGGAGGATAGTCTTCTTGAGAAGCCTACAGCTGCAATGGTGGTCTCTGCTGATAGCCGTGAAGCTATGCAACTGGTAGAGAGTAGCGCTGCACGCATCAGTGGCTGATAGAGAAGACTGGATACCCTGAAACATAGCCTCCAAGTTGAACCCATGTCGGTCTCCAAACGGGTCCCTACTTGTTTGCGCATGCGCTCTGGAGTCGCCAAGATGCCGTCTTGGGGCGGCGGGCCGGCTGGCATGGAAACGGGCGGAAAAGAAGCAACCTCTGAAGCTCTGCACTTTCAACATGCTCTGTGATGTCCTCTGTCTCTTAGTGATTGTTTCGTTTGTCTTCTACGCTGCGCAAAGGGTAGCGTGCTGGTAAAGGCGGTGACAACGCCTGAACTTCTAAATAGTGCCCACTTCAGCACGTGTGGGGTGGAGATTGGCGGGTGGGACAAGATCTAAAGCGTCTGTCGGAGATAAAGGAAGGAGGGATGGGTGTTCCGAAGTTCTATCGCTGGATCAGCGAGCGCTACCCGTGTCTTAGCCAAGTCGTTAGGGACTATCAGGTAACAGCTCTTTGCACTGTTTACTTGGCCAAAGCAAGCATCCTACGCACATAACTACGTACCTTACCGGTTAGGTTTGCAACTATTACGCTGTTTTTGTAGATATAAACTAGCCTGTTTTATTAGTTCCCCTTTTTGGGTATGTATGTTCAGTGTATGAGGGCCAACAAGCCCCAAACAGCTGTCCAGAGCTCCCCATCTTTTTTCTCTTGGCATCACATGGTATTTTCTAGTGTGTGTGGGTATGGCACGAATAGCTGGGTACTATGGTATTCACCTCCCTCCCTACATATCTCTCTCTCCCTTTCCTCTTTCAGATACCAGAGTTCGACAATTTCTATCTGGACATGAATGGCATCATCCACATGTGTTCACATCCTAATGACGACGACCCAATGTTCAGATTGCCCGAAGACCAGATATTCTCAGAAATATTCAAATACATTGAGGTATATATATTATATATAGTACGTAGTGTGTCATATGCACTTAGCTTGTGTTTGCACCGTGTTATTAAGTAAGAGACGGTGTCCACTGAATACTGTGCAGTGTATGTATCATGTTTGTCGGTTCTTGTTGCCCTAACATTCACCCTGACGAACCATGTCATAATCGGTAAAATATACTACCTTCTCTGAATTTACAGGAACAAGTGTTTGCCCTGATGAAATGTACACTATACTGAGCATGCATAAACGGATGAGACATATTTTGAACTTATCCACCCTCTCACTCTTCCAAAGAAGTTACATAGGGGGATAAACTACATACTAATACTCATTTTGTCCTCCACTATCTAAATGAAGGCCTGACTCCCTCCCTCCCACATACTCTATTTCGTATGATAAAGCTGCATACCTTCTCTCCTCACTTACTCCCTCCTCCCTCCCTCCCTTCTACAGGCTCTGTTTCGTATGATCAAGCCGCGTAAGGTGATGTTTCTGGCAGTAGACGGGGTGGCTCCGAGAGCCAAAATGAACCAGCAGAGGGGTCGCAGGTTCAGGTCTGCCAGAGAGGCCGAAGACGTCGTGAGAAAAGCTCTGCAGAAAGGTCTGGTGCTTCCTTCAGAGCCAAGGTTTGTCAGACCGTGTGTGTCGGTAACTGTATATAAATGTTCAGAGGGGATTTTTCTGTGTTTTGGTAGTGAACTGTTTGCTGGTTGTTTATCCAAGCCCTGTCCATAAAACTCTGTGAAGGCTCAAACGAAATATGTGGAATTTTTACTTTCCTGCCTGTATGGTTAATGTTGAAAGGGGGAATGCACCCATACTGTACCAAGGTTCAGTCACAAAGACTGTGTTAATGGTGGTACGTAAATCTCCCTAGTGGTTTCTGCCAGCAAGAGCATTGGTTTACACCAGGAAGGACAAATACACTATCTCCCTAGGAGCCATTAGGCATATTGTAGGATTCCAGCTTATCTGAGGTTTCTTCTGCATTGTATAGGAACTAGTGGCTTACTGGCAAAATTGCACATAAAACTGAATAAATGCATTGGCTTTATCCTGTCATTACCATACTTAGTGATTAAGGAAGTGTGCGTGTGTGATTAACGCACACTCTTGTGACAAAACCTTCTGGTGTGTGTGTGTGTGTGTGTGTGTGTGGTGTGGCGCAGGTTTGACTCAAACTGCATCACCCCTGGCACGGAATTCATGGCCCGACTACACGAGCAACTCAAGTACTTTGTGAACCAGAGAGTTGCCACCGACCCAAGTTGGCAGTCTGTTGACGTCGTCCTGTCTGGGCAAGAGGTCCACTAGATCTCTCCCTTCTTTTTCTTTTTTCAAACTCGTGTTTTTTTGTTGTTCCAGTGTTCTAGCCTACTAGGAAATCACTCTGGAAATTTTTTTACGTTTGTATACAGTTAAACCTGTGAATAAAATGACTTGAGGACACCAAAAGTCCTTTATTTACAGGCGTCCCTTATTCGGAGCTACTAATGTATTAGTGTGGTGCAGAACCAAGTGCCAGGGGTCTCTGATGGAAACATACCCATGAATGTTGTGTGCTGTCAACAGGTACCGGGTGAGGGCGAGCATAAGATAATGGACTACATACGACACCAGAAGGCTCAGCCAGACTATGATCCCAACACTAGACACTGTCTCTATGGACTGGATGCTGATCTGGTGAGTGTATGTATTGTATATACGTAGTACATGTTGAGGTATGGGGGAGGGAAAGAGGGAGGGTGGGATGGGTGGCTGACTTTGATCCTAACACTAGACATTGTCTCTATGGACTGGATGCTGACTTGGTGAGCAACACCTCCTGCACTTGCATGTACCCAGTACGCGGGAAGTACGTATGTAGTATAAAATGAGTACCGGCTTTCCCGTACCAGTCTTTGCCAGTTTAGTGTATTGTCCTTTTGTGAAGTCATTCTGAAGTGAATTTAAAATCCACCAATGCCCAAAACACTTCATGTAGCCCGTGAAAAGTGAGAAACTGACTATAGCTATGTAACTCTACACTCCAGGCTGTGAATTCTTTCTGCACCTCTTTCTCCCTCTCTCTCCCTTCTTCTTCCCTCTCTCCCTTCTTTCTCCCTCTCTCCCTTCTTCCTCCCTCTCTCCCTTCTCTCTCCCTCGCTCCCTTCTTCCCCCCTCTCTCCCTTCTGTCCTCCCTCGCTCCCTTCTTCCTCCCTCTCTCCCTTATTCCTCCCTCTCTCCCTTCTTCCTCCAGCTAATGCTGGGTCTGCTGACCCATGAACCACATTTCTGTCTCCTGAGAGAGGAGGTGAGGTTTGGGAAGAAGAGCCAGAGGAGGACCAGTTCTCCCACCGCCATCACCTTCCACCTCCTCCACCTCGCCATTCTCAGAGAGTACATTGAACACGAGTTCGCTCCACTCAAGGTTACTGCAAACTACACAATTATAACCTGTACAGAGTAACGTTGATGACTATATGTCCTCTTACTTCCAAGACACGAAATTCGGCGTGAGTGAGCTCTAAATACAGTCTTCTTCTTCTTCCTCTGCCACAGACTGGTCTATCGTTCCCATACGACCTGGAGAGTGTCATTGATGACTGGGTACTACTGGGATTTCTAGTAGGAAACGACTTCCTTCCCAACCTACCCAACATGCATATCAAGCAGGTACATGTGTATGTATATATATATATACAGTGACTGTATAGAGCAATGCAGTGGAACCTTAAAGACACCCCAATGAGGACACTTCTCTACTAAGGACATATTTTTCCCCCTAAGAGCAGTTGCTTGTAACCCCTGAAACAAGGACACCTCTTTACTTTCTTCTGTCCCATTGGTGTCCAAATTAAGAGGTTCCACTGTAGAGGAACCATCTCTAATGACACTCTGGCCACCTCCTCTTTCCCCAAGAACCAGTTCTCTAATCTCTGAAATAAGCACACCTCACTAAAATAGGCTCTTTCTTTTGTCCCATTGGTGTCCCGATTAGAGGGGTTCCTTCCACTGTATTGATGTTCTGCCCCACCCACCCTCAGGAAGTAGGGTAGTGTAGTGTAGGGGACAACATGACAGTGTATGACGTGTATGTACATGTGTAATACACCCCATTTCAGAGTGCACTGCCGTATCTTTACAAGAAGTACATGGAAGTTCTGCCCAAGTTGGATGGTGAGTGTTAATAGTAGTACAAAATAATACAGGCTGGTTTTTATGTGCACACTGACCATTTTCTGCCCTGAATCAACAAAATTTGTGAAATATTTTAGTGAATCTATCACCGTCAGCTGGCTTTTTGTAAATTCACGATATTTTGTCACGAAATGTTTTAAGGTATCTATGTCCACTGTCTGATTTGCTGGTAATGATCACAGGTTACATCAACGAAGCTGGCAATCTGAACATGCGAAGATTTGAGGTCTTCCTTGGAGCAATAGCAGAGGTATATACTGTATTGCTCATATTGCACACTTTTGAATTGCACGCATGCGTTGCCATAGCTCTAAATCAAGTTAGACGGCTTGTCAATGGTAACTACACGCATTAGAGCACCTTGGGGCGCCCTAGTAGCGTCCTCGCTGCGCTCGAATGCCGACAGCCCAGGGCCCCCGCGGCTCTCTAATGCGCAGTTTCCTGGACTCAGCATCTAACTTACAGTGTTGCACATATTGCACACCAAGCAGATGTATGTACAGAGACCAACACACACGTGCGCAGATTAGCCAAATTGGCGATTCCCAGCCAAGAATCGTCGCCAAACTCTAGGTTTCTCTGAAACTGCTCCGTTGCAAAGCTAGAGCGCGAAAAAGCCAATATGCAAATACACAACGGACGGGATGGCTTACCACAGTCGGATCGATCCGCGTGCTCTGCGCACTTCGGAGGCACCAGAAGATGCAACGCAGGGCGTGTATCGCCTCTCGCATACTATCTAGTAGTGTAGTTAGCCCGCATCAGACTCTGCGCGAGATGGCAAGAGACCACTAAAGCTAAACCCAGCCCATCAATTAGCGGTACGGCGCATGCGTTTTGCGCGTCACAGTGCGCCGTGGGTTTGCACTTCAGTGCTTTTCATTGGGTCTGTCTGCCTGTCTGTCTGTGTGTCAGTCTGTCTGTTACTCTTCATCTCACTTCTCGAGTGTTCTTTCGTCTCACAAAGGATACCACCTACTGAACGGGCAATGAAGGTCAGAAATTTCGAACGATTTTCTCTGAAAACGCTCCGTTGCAAAGCTAGAGCGCTTCCACCATTGTACGGCTAATGCGTAGTCGGCCATTTTTATCGCTGCGGAAAATGCGCATGCGCTTATATTTAGCACAGGACCGGGTCTGCTTGCTCTGTGTATTTTGAAGGCACAAGAAGTCACAACGAAGGGCGTGTATCGACTCTCGCATGCTATCTACTGCTGTAGCTAGCCCGTGTCAGACTCTCTGCGAGCTAATACTAGCGGGAGACAGCGAGTAATCGCATACTAATATACCGCGCATGCGCAGTTCGCCGAGGGTTTGCACTTCAGTGCTTTTCATTTTTGTTTAGTTTTATACGTACTGGGCAACACACACACACCCAGACCCTCTCTATTTATGATTATACTCATGTATACACTGCAGTTTGACTACGACCACTATAGTGAACTCATCAGTGATATGAAGTGGTTGGAAGCTAAAAAAGCTGGCTCTAAAGCCAGGCAGAAGAAGACGGCTCGAGTAGGCTGGGGTTCCGCGCGGGAGACACTGAGCAGCTCTGAGGAGAGATGGAGTGAGGGAGGAAGAGGGAGAGGGAGAGCAGAAGGTGGAGAGGGAGAAAGGGAGCTGGTGGGTTTCTTCTCCGCCAGTGAGACCGAGGTGTCACCGGATGACTTGGATGATGGATCAGAGTCAACTGCAAAACTCAAGGTTAACCATCCTAAGACTCCAGGTTTTTTTTTACCCCAAAGCATGGTAGCTTTCTGTTGTTTTTTTTACAGTGAAGTATAGTACTGTAGCTTTCTTTCTTTTTTTTACAACAGATTATAATACTGTAAAAAATAGCAGGTTCGTAGACTGTGTTCCAGTACTTTTGTCGTGGTGCTAGTTTTTCTGACATAAGCAGAATATTATAATTATTTTGCGTAGGTGAGGGTTGATAAACATACTCTCCTATATAATACACACCAAAAATGGTAATGAACATGCAATCCGAAAGAGGTGCTTCTTACACGTCCATATAAACAATACTGGCCATGCAAAAAAAAAATTTAACTCATCCATTTTGAGTTGATGAAAAAAACATAAATTCTAAGGTTGAAAAAAACATAATGGGCCAGCCCTCCATCTCTCCAGACAGACGTCTACGGACGCAGTGCTATGCCGAACTATACGCTGCCCTTTGAGAAACATGGGTCAGTGGTAGATTCGTGGGTAAGGGGAGGAACCAGAGCTGTTCCCAGCCAATGCTCTGGACCACCTGTCAGTTTCAGTGCGGGTCCGGGATTCGAACCGGGCACCTTATGTGACAGTCCCCACGTCTCTAACCACTTAGCCACTCGGGCTGGCCACGAGAGTTGATGAAAAAACGTTCCTCTTATATCAACACTCACATTACATCATTATGAAAAAGATGACCCAGACAGGGATCGAACCGGTGACCTTGGTATGATAAGTGTGAGTCCTTAACCATTAGACCACACCCAATAGTTGGGGAGATACGTAATACTGCTGTATAATATTGTACTAGAAACCACATAATAGCCTCCCACTGTGGGCATGAGATATGAAATTTTTTGTTATGTTCGTGCGCAGTCTATGTTGCCACGGTAACCTAAAGCTGCAAATCCTTGCTCATCACACTGTATATACCCATACGCAACTTTTGTTGAAGCAACAAAGTTGCCTCAGATATGTTAACCTTTAGCCTCTCTTCCCATCCTTCACTCCTCCCTAACAGCGTGATTTAGGCATCCCCAGTCTTGACGCCTACTTCAGCAAGGAGGACACCGATCGTATAGACTCCTTCGAGGCGGACCTAGCTCACATGAAGGCCCGGTACTACCAGGAAAAGATGGGATTCCAACGGATCAGTAGCGGGGTCCTGGCAGAGCAGGCAAAGTGCTTTGTGGTTGGGATACAGTGGGTTTTGTCCTACTACTACCATGGAGTGCCTTCATGGAGCTGGTAATATGTAGTACTGTAGGGTATAGTAATTCAGTGTATGATTCTTTGCCACAAAATGGGAGAAAATGTATTCCCTTTACCCGAACAGCTTTTCTGCGGTGTTATAACCATACATATGTGAAGGGTGGCATGTGTAATGACATTGTAATGCACTAAGCTGAATTTAATGTTTGAGCATGAGGGTATATTTAAGTGAACACACATTTAGTTAGTAATAATAATACTCAGGTGGCTGCCATAGCACTAGGGCCATAGACCACGCACCCAGAGCAATGGGCGGAACGGTTAACAAACGAACATATGTACACCATATGAATGGTGTATGTTCGTTTGTTAACGGTTCCGCATTTAGTTAGTAAAGTAATGAAAATGTGGTATCTGTACTTCAAAGGAACATTGCTGATGAATTTCTACAGGTACTACCCATATCACTACGCTCCATTTGTGTCCGACGTAAGGGGATTTGGTGATCTCCAAATAGAATTCGAGTTGGGAGAGCCTTTCCTGCCATTTCAGCAGCTGCTGGGAGTTCTTCCACCGGCCTCCAAAAACCTTCTTCCTAGACCTTTCCAGGTGCAAATATACCAGAATAAATTCAAACACCTTTTGGGTTTTCGAACGTCGCCCGCACTATAGAATCACGTAAAGTATTACACTACAATGTGCAGTGGCTAATAATGTATGCATTGAGAGGACTATATGTAGGTAGGCTTGCTTCACTTGGAAATAATGTATTCATTATACAGTGGAACCCCTCCCCTCTCTATGGACGCCTCTGAAAATGAAAACACCTTTTCTCTCCCCCAAGAACAGTTCTTGAGTGCAGTTTAACCCCTGAAATAAGGACGCCACACAGTATTATGGACATTCTGTCGCAATGGTGTCCCGATTTCTTCTGCTGATTGCGATCAGCACGACGTGATATGCTGCAATAGACTCAATTTTTTTAATCTAGCGTTTTTTGTGTCTCATGACGGTCCAACCTTACAACCAACTCGACGCCGTGATTTGTGTCGATACTCTGACAATACTCTGAAAAAATTATTCTCTCTCCATATCTTGTTAGGGTCTGATGATGAATGATGACTCACCGATCAAGGACTACTACCCGGTCGAGTTCCATACCGACCTGAACGGGAAGGAACAGGAGTGGGAGGCCGTGGTCCTCATTCCATTCATTGACGAGGAACGGCTCCTGGCCGCCATGAGAGAGAAAGAGAACCAACTTACTAAAGAGGTGACGGCGGAGTGAAAGGCAGCTTTTCTCTGTCACAGTTTTTCCAAACACTTTACACCTTCACTTGCATGCACAGAAATGATACATGTCACACTCAACACTATACCAACTTTTTGTGTTTGAGAAACGCGTGTACAAGGAATGGTGTCTGAGAGTATACAGTATTATGCAATGCACAGTGGAACCTCCGAATAAGGGAAAGGAATTTTGGATATCGAAAGTGTCCTTTATAGAGAGTCATCCCTTATTCACTAATGTATTAGTTTGGGGAGCATCCTTATAGAGAGTCATCCCTTATTCACTAATGTATTAGTTTGGGGAGCATCCTTATAGAGGGGCATCTCTTTTTAAGGGGTCCTATGTACTTCGGATGTACTAATGTGTTGGTACCAAGAATCCTTTATAGAGCAGTCTTTTTCAGAGGGTCCTTCCTCACTGTATATACACTAACAGTGTTTCTCTGTCTGTCTCTGTCTCGCAGGAGGTGAGAAGAAGCAGCCATGGAACGTGTCACCTGTACAGATACGACTCAGAGATGGAGCCCTATACCTACCCTTCCCCCTGGCCTCAGGCCTTCCCCGATGTACCTCACTGCGAAGTCAGGTGATTGGCTTTTGAGCACTTCGTGACTTGTTTTCTGTTGCAAATTATTGTAGTTATGCACACACTATGTATGTATGTAGGTTTTGGTGCCAGTTTTCCATGGATTATCAGGCTTTTGTTCTCACTCTGTTTTCGATTGGAGTTGCATGTGGAAACAATTTTTGCAGTCAAGGATGTTGGTTTTGTTGCACATCGGTTTATGGGCACAAGATTGATAACTGCCCGTACAACTTGACTGCATGCATGTGTCCTGCCCCCTCACACACACATTGTACCTTACCCCCATTGACAGGTGCACAGAGCTACCGGCGGTCCCATTCCCAATCTCCCGTTCCAGTCTGGTCCCGGGACTCCTCCCCGGAGCAAAACTGGACATCCTGTTCCCGGGTTTCCCCTCTCTGAAGCACGTCGACCACTCGGCTCGTCTGGAGAAGAGAGGGGTGAGGGTGTTTCAGGCTGCCAGCCGCGACGAGAACATGTGCCTCTCCGTCAGACCCAAACCAATGGACGAGGTCTCTCTTCATCTAATCAACGCCACATGCATTCGCTTCTTTCTATCTCTTTCAGAATCTCCAAAATCTTGCTATTGAACTGGTTGGAAGGCAGTGCTACGTCGGTTGGCCGTATCTGACAGAGTCCAAAATTCACGCAGTCTCTGACGGGGTGATGAAGTACACTGCCGACCCTCTCGACAGGTCAAAGGTCAAGATATTAAGCCACACCCTCAAGGAGAAGGAAATTGTGCAGTGGAATGCGGACGCCACTCAAGTCTGTAGACAGTGAGTATGTACAACATGGTATACATATTTTTCCCAAATGTGAATGTCTCTCAGTTATGCAGAGTTTCGTGGCATCGACGTTCCTCCGATCGAAGTTCTGGTTTATGCCAACGTTTTGCAGGGAAAGCGGTGAGTCACACCTCTGAAAATTGTCTTCTCATTGCACTCCCCCGTACTATGTATGTATGTACGTATGTATGTCTTTTCTACTTTCCATCCTTATTTCCTCCCTACCATCCCCCCCTTTGCCTTCCCCCTCTTTACTTTTTGATTCCCCTCTTCACTTGGCTTCTCAATCCTGTCTCTTTCGTCCCTCCCCCTCCCTCTCCTTGTCTTTTGATCCCTCCTTCACCCTCCCTCCCTCCCTCCCTTCTTCCCTCCTTCCCTCACCCTCCCTCACCCTCCCACCCTCGCAGTTACGTATCAGACAAACAGAACAAGGGAACTCTGATACTTCACAAAGAGTGGAAGTCGCTTGCGGAGCCCCACCCGTACGATCTGTCGGTCACAGACATAACGGCCCATGCTCCAGAGTACAGGGAAATGGGGATAACTCTCGAAGACCTGTTCAGACCAAAAGAGCCTTGTTTCATGTTATCAAACCCTCACTATGGCTTTCAGGCTGAGGTGAGTTGGGGTTCATCCAAAGCCACAATACAGGAAGACTAGCCTAAAGGGGGTAGGGCTATAGGGCTATGGTAACAGAATACATTGTCATTGGTTACTAAGTACATAGTATGGTATAGGGTTAGGGCGGCAATGAAAACGCTGACATCACTTCCTGTCTTGTGGCATTACTGGACATCCCTGGTTCATAAGTGTCATTTAGGGAGGAATATGTGCTAAATAAGTTAGGCCTCTCGTCTGTCGAAATGTACTGTACGTGTGTTAGAAGCCCTCGGGTCCTTTACGTATGTAGTAGTAGCTCGGAATGCCACTACACAAGGCCCTCAGGGTTCAGACACACGTACAGATTTTACGGACTCACTGTCTGAGCGTATTACATAATATGTTACTCTCTACTCCCTGTGAATCAAACTACGCCAATGGTTACTTTAGTGTACTTAATTTTCTTTGGTTGGTGCCTTTCTCAACTGTATGTATGTACATTATTTCACACTTCAGATACTTTCTGTGGATCAGGCTCAGGTCAGAGTCCAGGTCAAAGTTCGACTCCTACCGGAACCCGACATTGCCGGCGTCGTTAGCAACAGCCACCGATTGTCCGTCCGTTATCTCCCATCCTACTTGGTTGCCCAGAAATTGGGTCTGAATAGTCTACTTCTGTCTAGAATTAGCGGCAACATTCAGGTGGAGAAGGGATCCCCTGAGAAGTGAGGATACAAAGTGAAAACTCTAAATAAGGGACACATTGGGGGCATCATCGGAAGTGTCCCTCCTTTACTCAGAGGCTTTTTTGTTTGAAGAATACGAACAAAAGTCCCTTACATTGGTCCTTAAACCTTTGGACACCATGGGGATCTTCTTAAATAAGCATAATTTTACCTATGAAGTATTAGCATCTAGTATTATAACCCCATATAAATTATGGTGGTTTCTCTTTTTTGAAGAATACGAGCAAAAGTCCCTTACATTTGGTCCTTAATGTTTGGGAGTTATCAAAAGTGTCCTTTATTTAGAGCCATCCCTTTTCGGTGTAGTTACTAATGCACAGAATTTGTACCAAAGTGTCGACACACTATATAAGACGTCCTTCAACACCACTACACCATTCGTCATTGTTGCAATGTGTGTATATACTAACACGTGCAGAGTTTATTGCATGCACTATAGATGTACGGTTGGTTAGATACATAACCATTAATCGATGCAGTGCTAAAGAGAGAGAGAAGATTAGCATTGGACTCAACCTCAAGTTTGAGAGGAGAAACAAAGAGGTAGGGTGCAAATTTTTCAAGGAATTTTTATCCCCTTTTCTCTCCCTCTTTTCCCTCTACATTTTGTCCCTCCCTCCCTCCTCAAGATGCCTGGCTACTGCAGGAGGACGACGGAAGGGTGGGCCTACTCACCGGCGGCCATAGGCCTGGTGAAAAGCTACGTGAAAGAGTTCCCAGCTGTCTTCAGTTATCTCCAGGGCAACCCCAAGGCCGACAAGTACTACGAGAGTGAACTGATGCCAGCCAATGCCGAAGAGTGAGTCAAGCATAAAAAGAATGTCTAACTGGCCAAATAATTGTCACATTGAAACAAGATGAAAATTACAGTTGCGCGACACAAAGTTGTAGCCAACTTCATGTATTTTGGAAAGTGTTTGTATTTCTATATGTTACGTGGAACAGTCATACCCAAGTTGCATGACAAATTGCATCTTGACCTTATGCGTTGGTAATGCAGGTGTGGACAACCAAATCATTAACAAAGCTTTATAAGCAGTGTGTGTGTTAGCTTTTTACATATGTGTAGCTTAATTGCGCTCTCTCTTGTATACATATATTCTCCATTACCTTGTATATATTCTTCATTTCATGCGTGTGTACATGTGTAGACCTATGTTTTTGGCTTTCTGTCCATCCATTGCTCTCTCCCTCAGTGGTGTGACTCTGGCAAAGGTGCAAGAGTGGCTCAAGAAGCAACCCACCACTGGTATTAGCACGGTCGACTGTGGAGGTCAAAGTCTAGATGAGCCCCAGATAGCTGCCGTGGAGAGGGCTGTTTCGAACATGAAGGTTTGCAACCTTTCTGACTATATAGGCGAAGTTTATGAAACGTCTGTTTGCTGCAGAAGCAGAAGACAAAGAGTGTGAAAGTGGCAAGACTACGAGTGAAGCCTTCTGTGCTCTTCCTGGTAGCGCCACCTTCTTCTCTCCCTCCCTTTCTCACTTTGTCCTTTCTATCTTCCCCACTTCTCCTCCCTCTCTCACTTATCTTTTTTCCCTCTCACAATTATGTTCTTACTTTCTATACTTCTCGTTCATCTTTCTCTTCCTCTCTTTTCTCTCCCATTCCCACATTCTGTCAGTCTGCCTCTCTCAAAGACATGTCCTGTCTCTTTCTCTACACCTCTGCCTCCTTCATCTCTCTCCTCCTCTCTTTCGGTCAAATTAACCGTATATAGGTCATAGGGTACAAAGTTCACTAAAGTGGGAAGCGGAAGACACTTGGCTAAAATATTTCATCCTTCCTCCTCCCTCTCCCCCAGTCCTCTATCAACCAGGGAGCAGTGGTACCTGATCCTAAGGCGGAACATTTCCTCTATGACAGAGTCATCAACATCATGCCACACTCTGCAGTGCCATTTGGACTAAAGGGAACCATCATTGGAATCAGAGGAGGTTATAAATATATACGTTTCATATATCTGCCTTATACCTGGTATACTAATTCACAACATTACAGATAGGAAGGAAGTGGCCACTATCTACGAGGTACTATTTGACGAAGAGTTTCTTGGTGGTCTCACGCTGCGATGCACCCCAAATCGAGCCTACTGCCTCCCCCCCTCCTGTCTCCTCAACCTCAGTCATGGAGTGAGGCTGAAGGCCGAGAAAAACGCCCCCAAACAGCAAGGGAGTGTGGTGGCCCCCGAGGGCCAGAATTTTACCCCCCAGAGGGGGTCGTATTCGGGTGTGGTTGTGGGCGGGTCTCCGTCATTTTACGGGCGGGACTATCCTGATGGGCACACTCCTGTGCATCGTCACCATGGGAACTATCACCAGCAACAGTTCAATGGACCGGTTAGCTACGAATACATGTAATTTTCCCGTTAAAATCTGGTGCAAAATACAATGTTGCTCAGATGGCTGTCAGATTTGCCAACATTTCTCTCATGCGGTTTTGTACTGTACAACACTTACATCTCCTGTTCTCCTTCCCTCTCTTTTAGCCACAGTTGTCTTCCTTGTAGCCATTATTTCTTTCACCTTTACTCTGAAATGGCAAATCTTTCTTGATTCACACCTTCGTTTTATTGAAACTCTCTCCCTCTCTCTATGTGGTCTGAAGGAGTGGGGCTACCATAATATGGGGCAGAGCCATAGATACAACAGGGGGCAGAGTCCCAGCTATACTCCAGGAACTAGGGGGAGAGGAGAAGGGGGACCAAGGGGGGAGAGGGGACATGGGAGATATGGCGGCCATGTTAGTGACAGTGGTGGCTCGTGGAGAGACATGGGTAGTGGTGGAAGAGGAGGAGGAGGAAGGGAGAGAGATGCACCTGTGAGGATTATCGTCAAGAACCCACGGACAACTGTTTCACCCAATGCAGCTGGTTAGCCAACAAAACTATCTCACGTGTTCAAGTCTTACACTACAGTGAATCCTTGGTATATCATACTAGAACGGTGCGTGGTTTATGAAGGGAACGTGAGTGCGAAATTTCAGTGGAGTTATGTGCTACATGTATTTAGAATGTATTGAGGAAGTCCCCGACCGTCAAATAGTTTTATACATATACAAAATCGCACAATTCAATGCCTACGTAGGCTTGCTTGCTTGTCACGTATGTCAT